TAGCTTCTATTTTTTATTTTATCGTTGATTTCTAGTTTCATTCCATTACAGTCTGATAGAATGTAGGGTAGTATTTCTATTTTTTTGTATATGCTAAGAGTTGCTTTGTGGCATAACTTATGGTCCATTTTTTGGAAAAGGATCCATGTGCTGCTGAGAAGAAAGTGTATTTGCTCAATGATGGATGAAATATTCTATATGTCTGTTAAGTAGAAATTATTGATTGTATTATTTAGTTCTATAGATTCCTTGCTTAGTTTTTGTTTGGACGAACTATCCAGTGGTGAGAGAGGTATGTTAAAGTCACTCAGAATTATTGTGTTGTGGTCTCTTTGATTCTTGAAATCGAGAAGAGTTTGTTTGATGTATGTAGATGCTCCATTGTTTGGGCCATGGATACGATTGTTGTATCTTGTTGATGTATGATTCCCTTAAGCAGTATGAAATGTCCTTCTTAATCCCTTCTGACTAACTTTGGCTTGAAGTCCACTTTATCTGATATGAGGATGGAAACCCCCATTTGTTTGTGCAGTTCACGTGAGTGGTATTTTTTTTTTTTTTTTTATCATCCTTTCACCTTCATACTGTGGATGTCTTTTTTCTAGATGAGTCTCTCCTAGACAGCATAGTTTTGGGTCTTTTATTTTTTTTAATCCCAGTCTGCCAACTGATGAATTTAGGCCATAACATTCAGGGTTATTATGGAAATATGCTTTAAATTCCTGGTCATTTTAGTTTATTTTTGATTTTTGATTTGACTTTGCTGATTTTCTTGTTTACCACAGAAGGTTTTTATTTGATCTTCAAGTCTAAAGCTAAGTTTTGCTGGATATAAAATTCTTGGTTGATATCCATTTATATATGTTATTCCAGGACCTCCTGGCATTGAGGGTCTGGGTTGAGAAATTAGCTGATATCCAAATTGGTTTATTTATTTATTTATTTTTCTTCACAGCCTTTAAAATTCTGTTCTTATTTTGTGTGTTAGTAATTCTCATTATAATGTGCCTCCGTGCAGGGCTGCTGTAATTTTATACATTTGGGGTCCTGTAAGCCTCTTACAGTTGATTTTCCATTTCATTCTTTAGATTTGGGAGATTTTCTGATATGTCATTGAAAAGATTGTGCATTACTTTGGTTTGTATCTCCATGCCTTTGTCTATTCCAATAAATCTTAAGTTTGGACTTTTCCTGTTATCACATGTTTCTTGGAAGTTCTGTTCATGATTTCTTGCCATCTTTACGGAATGGTCAACTTTATTTTCAAGAATATATTTTGTCTTCATTGCCTGAGATTCTACTTCTAAGTGGTCTAGTGTGTTCGTGATGCTTTCTATTGAATTTATTATTTGATTTATTGATTCCTTTATTTCGAGGATTTCTGCTTGTTTCCCTGCCCCCTCCACAATCTCTTACTCTATTGAAGTGATCTTTCACTTCCAGTATTTTCTCTTTGATTTCACTCCTTATACTATCCTTTACTTTGCAGATTAAATTAACTATGTACATTCTGAATTTCTCTGATATTTCTTATACTGTGTTGTCTATGGATTCTATTGTTGGAACATCTTTTTGTTTGAGGTTTGTTTGAGGCACTTTGTTCCCTTGTTTTTTCACGTTGTTTGTGCATTTTCCCATCTAGAAGTATGGATTTGAGGCAGTACAGTTTCTACCCTGAAGTCCAATTATAGTGTCCCTGAAGGCTTGTACTACCTCACTTTTAAGGGAGAGACCAATAATAACAGCACCCAATGCAAACAATATACAACCTTAAATAGCTCCTATTTTGGCATCTCCAGTTTTGTTGCAATAAACAGAAATGATGTGTTCAATTATAGTCTATAGAATGAACAGTAAGTTTGCTAAAAGGGTTTACGATTTCAAATGATGGACAAACGGGAGAGAGGATGTGATATTTATGAGGGAGAAGAAGAGAAAATAGAGATAAAAAGTTATAGTAAGAGCAAAGGAGGAATTAACAGAGGTTGGCTGTTAACATGAGAGAAGTGAGAAAAAAAATCTAGTGAGACAGATAAGTGAGGGAGAAAATATATACAAATAAAAACAAAATGTAAAAATATAAGAATAGGGGCTGGAGTTGTGGCTCAGTGGTAGAGTGCTCGCCTAGCATGCATGGGGCACTGGGATTGATCCTCAGCACCACATAAAAATAAAATAAAGATATGGTGTCCACCTAAAACTAAAGAGAAAATTAAAAAATTATATTTTTAAAAATATAAGAATATACAATCACACTGTAATATCCTATTCAGACATCTCACTCCTCAATAAACTGATACATGAAAAACATTTGGATTCAGAGATGGTAGAGATGTGAGGTGGGGGAGGAAAAAAGGAAAGTCTATGGAAAACTGACCAATTGCTGTTGTTGGCTTTTAAAAATTTTCTCAGCTTTTCTTTTCTGATAGATGGGGTTGTCTGAAGTTTGATGGTAGCTCCAGTCCAGTGGGTGCTGGGCAGGTTGGCTGGGCAAGCTGGGAGCAAGATGCCTTCTCCCCCTCTTTACATCTTCCCACTTGTTGTCACCAGCCCCTTCTCTCCCTTACACTTCAGGACTCATTGAGCTGGAGAGAGCCTGGTTTTCTCCAGTTTCTCCACCCGGGGAATTGGGCCTAGTCTCTGACTTTCCACGGGCTTGCCAGGCCCATGCTGACCCACATAGTCTCAGCTGCAATCTGATGAAGCTGGGCTCCAGATTCCCCAGGCTGTGCCCTGCTGCAGTCCCAAGATCTCAATGATGTTCCAGCTTGCAGAGAGACCACCAGGGGTGTGCTCACACAAAGGAGCAACCATGCAAAGAGGCAGCCAGATGGCGGCCACTAGCACACCCAGCAAGAAGACCTCAGGTGCAAGGAGACCTGCATGTACCCTGACAGTATATCTCCAAGTCTTGGCCGATGTCCCCAGACTGAGGCAGCTGCACCCCCAGATGGTGGTGGGGCAGTGGCAAACCTGCAGAGCCTCCCAGGCCCTAGCTAGTGTCCCAAGATGGTAGCAGCAGTGTGTAACCAAACCTACAGGTTCCCTGACAATGGACTTCCAGGCAGCAACAGGCATTGAGCCCTGTGTGTGGACAGTCTGCAGGCAGCAGGCAAAAGGTAGGCAAACAGCAGCAAGGAATGCAGCCTCCCTCTAGTTCACCATCTTGGATCCCTCCTTCTTCATTCTTTGTACTGGAAGTGTCATATAATACATATACTTTACTGTAGCTCCATAGCTGTTACAATTTTTGGTTTTAAGTATTTAAATAACAGGGGAGCTAGCCTTTTATATTTGCCTAGTATATATCGTTTCTGCTCTTCTTCATCCTTTCCTAAAGATTAAGTTTCCTCTGGAATTTTCTCTTACCTTTAAAAAGAACTTCTTTAGCATTTTTTTGTAGAGAGCATGTGCTCTGACTTTTAATTTTAATCCCATGATAGATGGATGGATAGATAGAAGCCTGCCTGGTCACTAAGGGCAGCCTGCTGCAGAGGCACTTGTAGGTTCAAACAGGAACTCCCACGATTGCCACCTACGTGGCCCTTTCAGGAACACCCCCAACCGGAAATCCCTCCTCCGGAACTTCACCTGAACTTCACCAACCAACTCCCAGGAATCCCTGTGAGAACTCCAAAGTAGCAGGCGCCTGAGGTAGACAGCAGGGGTCTATATACAACTAAATACGCAGCTTAACTTAACCATTATCATCTCAATGGTTCGCTGGTGTCACCTCTCAACCACTCCCTTCTGTCAAAAATGCCATGCATCTTCCCTACTTGGCTGTGGCCCTCAACAGCAACCAGCTTATGAGCTTGTCACTATGATGACATAAGGCCCTCTTGCTTCCTGACCAATTCTCTTTGCTTTACTGTCGTGTGACTTTGCTTAGGAGTGACATAGTCCTTAATAATACTTATAAATAGTTTTATAATATTTATAAATAGTATAGATAATAAAAATCATCATTTTACCAGTCACCTTACTCTACCTTCTGTCTAATACATGATGAGTATCAAAATTTCACTTGAGCATGCCAGTAAGCTGCCCAAAAGTTCTTCAATGAGACAGGGAAAAGTGGGTCTACTATGGCAGTGGGGCCTTATTATGAGTTACACTGTCTGGCTGTTTGGTGGCTTCTCAAGAGGTCATGTTTCAGACAGTGTGCCTCCAGGAAGAGTAAAACAATCCTGTAAAATGGAATTAAAAGTCCTTTGTTAAGGGGGCACCTGGACAGGAGGCCTGCATACCTTTGATCTCTGCCTTCAGTACAGTCTCTGCCCCTTCTTTACCGCTGCAGAAATTCAGAATAATTATGCTGCTGGTAGCCTCATGTGCACTGCTTGTCTGACCCTGCTGTTATTCACTTCACACTCTTTCTCTTTCCCTTCATGCTTCCAAGTCTTTCCCTCCTGCCTTTTTTTTTAACCTATAATGTATTTCTCATAAAGAAAAATAATTTTTTGTGTGTAAATATGTCTCAGAATTTTTCCTTTATAGGAGAATTCTTACGTGTAAGTAACTAGAATAAAATTCAGATTTATCTGGGTCCTTGCACTTACCAATGCAGAATCCACAGATGTGACACATTGACTTGGTTTGGTTTGATAACCTTACCTGCTTCTCATTTCCACCTCTCTTGCATATTGCCTCTGATTTTCAGCAGTAAAATTGCTCATTACTCAATGATTTGCTTAGGTTAGTTTTATAATGCAGGTAATAGGTATTATGAGCCAAGGTAGACTAGCAGTGTATGGCTCATTTGTGGTGCTGTTTTCCAGCCTCTGACCTGGATTTCTATGGTGGCCAACATCTCTTGCTTGCTTTTTCCCCTTATTCATCAGTTTTGAATTACAAACTGACTGATGGCCACTTCTCTGTCTTCTTTTTATGAGTTCAAATTAAATCCCAGATGCTCCTCCCTGAACAGGATATATAAGGTTTGAATTTCTTCATAGCATGCTATTGTCTTTTCAATACATCAAATATTTTTGGTCTAGAACAAGGAGATTTGGACATCTCACAATCACATGTTCATCTTGAAGAATGCAAGGTTCCTGATTATGTAGAGGGCACAGAATCAAGTGATGCTGTTTTAATTGACATACTGACAGCAGGGGCAAGCTCAGACACAGTCTCCGAGGCCAAGTCATCAGCTACCACTGTGTGCAAGAGGGACATTCCATCCACTGACTCCTTTGTACTTCGTTCTGTATTGAAGAAACCTTCTGGCAACCTTTTTGCAGAGAACTTACAGGTAAGAAGAGAATCATATTTCCTATAGCAAATGAATAAGAATTCATTTTTCTTCAAAGCAATACCTCTGAAGTGTCATGTATCATACTAATGTAAAAGGAAATGTAATGTGTCAGTCTGTTACCTATCTATCCAAAATATTTGGTCTTAAAAAATAAGTCTTATAACCAAACTGTTAGGTCGGTGGTGGCGACTTGGTGGCCACTTAGTGGCAACTTAGAACAAAGCAGCCCACGTCGGAAAAGAACATCAATCAGATGCCAGCGGAAACGCCTGTGAATCAGCCAGATCTCCTGACTAACGCCTGTCAATCCACAGGACCCCCTGGCCAATCCTGGAGTTCAGCCAACTCCCCTGACCAAATTCAAGGGGGCAAGGGACCCTAGAAACACCTTTTCCTGTCCCAAGCCCTTCCCTTCCTGCTGTAAGCCCCATAAAAGTCCAGTCCGGTCGAACTTCCGCGTAGTTTCTCCTCAGACCCTTCTCCTGTCCCCTCTGTGGGTCTGATCAAGTTCTGCCCGGGAGTGATATCTCAATAAAGCCTCCCCCGCCTGATCTGACACAAACTTTTTCCTTTTTTCTTTTTCTATTTTTGGTTCAGTATTTCTTTATTACACAAAGTACTGCAGTGAATGTTTCTATACATATCTCCATAGATATTCATATGATAATTTCTAGAACCCAGATCCTTGCACTGTCACCTTGGAGCTTGAGGAAATGCACTATCTCGGGTCCTACTCAAAGAGTTAGCATTAGACCCTCTCTTTATTCAAGAAACCCAGGTGATTCATGGGCGTTTTAGTATCAAACTTTTTTCTCTAAGCTTAGTTGATATGAGAAAAGAGGAAGCTGGTGGGAAATAGGTGCCATTCATTGAGGAGTGTCTCTGGACAGTTCTGGTATCTTTATAGTGGTATACTCCAGGACAGGTGAAAGCCCCATTTGGCATGTAGGTTAGGCTTAAGGGTTGTTCAGTGAACCCAGGTAAGAATGATGTTAAAATCTGTGTCAGGTTGCTCATGGAGGCTCAGGAGTCAGTGCCTGTTGTCAAATTCAGACTCAGAAATGTAATAACTGAGCAAATTATTTAACCTTTTCTTGTCCTGGTTTTCTACCTATAAAGGATATTAGTAATTCCCGTATCTGGTAATTTTAGCATTCAGTATATTGATAATTATATTTATAATATATTGATGCTGATATTAAGTTAGCACCAGTGCCTGGCACATCAGAAATACAAATATTTTTTTCCAATGCACATGCATTTTAACACACAGCTATTCCGACAGATTTATTTTTAAAGCCAAAATGAAGTGATTACCTTTCATCATCATGGTCAGTTGCTATTTTAAGTGTTTTATCAACTTTTTGATTGAAGAACTGATTTAGATCTCTAGTACAGTACTGTTTATTTATATCTTTAGGTTAACTTCTCAGATAACACCTTAATGACGTGTATAATTGTTTTTAAAAATATTATATAATAAACATCAGGTCCTGCCACTAGGATGATAGGAAGGCATGATTGTGTAGAGAATCTTTTTACTAAGTTGGCCCAAGTTGCTTGGCTTACAAAATTCAAGTTATTTGCTAACTTTTATGGTTGTTTTAATTAAAAATAAATCTAAAGGTAACCATGATTTTTGTGTGTATGTTAACTTTCTTCACAGTTTTGTTATGTACATTTGCCTGGTCAGGAAAGAGAACTGATTTGAGACATAGCAGGTTTAAGGAGGTTCGTCTGGGGCAGAATTATTCTTGGCACGTGCTGCTCTTGGGATGGATGTAGTGGAGAAAAGGAAAAGCTCTCAAGAACAGTGAGTGGGTTGAGGCCGTACAAGTAGGTGGTGACTCAGAGGGGACTTTGACACAGTCCACAGGCCGAACTCTCCTAGAAAGTCCAGCAGCCCTGTGTTCCCCTTGTCTTTCTGCAGAGTTCACAATATCCCTCCTTTACAATTTGCCTCTCTGTAATCTTCATTTGGATAAACATGGACAAAAGCTGCCTTCTTTCGTGTAATGAAGGCAAGAAATTTGAGCATTTATGGAAGGTGCAATTCTCATGTTACAGATAAACACATCCGGTTAACTCATTTACCTGTTTAGTTTTTTTTTCTTGTTTTAGTGCAATTCGTAACACTTTGGACTCTTTGTCTACTCTGTCTCATCCTATACCAGATGCAGTACACTATAATTCTAGCCACTCATATTTCCTTAATTTTATTTTCTGGGTTAAAGATGGAATGATTTAACTCACACTTATGGATTTCTGTTCTTAAAATACTATGTGCCAAAGTAATATGTAGAGAACCCATTTTTCCTTTGTATCTAACATCATGATGTTTTAGAACAATTATGAAGATTAAGATAATCTTCAGTACTATACTGTCTGCCCTTGACAGAAAAACTTCAAAATTGACATTCTTTTTTCTTAATTTATATATTTATTTCCTCAGTAATTTTATATCATTTTAAGGGTACAGTTCTTACTCATGTTGATTAAATTTATTCTCAAATATTACATTTTTATGTCAATTTTACAATGACTGCTCACGTCAAAATTGCCATTCTTTTTTTTTTTTTTTTAATCTTTATTTTACTTATTTGTCTTTATGTGGTGCTGAGGATCGAACCCAGTGTCTCATCTGTGCTAGGTGAGCACTCTACCACTGAACCACAATCCCAGTACCCTAAAATTGCCATTCTTTTTTTTTTTTTTTTTAGAATTTTTCAACGTTTATTTTTCAGTTCTCGGCGGACACAACATCTTTGTTGGTATGTGGTGCTGAGGCTCGAACCCGGGCCGCACGCATGCCAGGCGAGCGCGCTACCGCCTGAGCCACATCCCCAGCCCCTAAAATTGCCATTCTTAATAACTACATGTACATTTCTTTATAGAGAATCACTCATTGATTATCATTTTTGTTTAGGAGCACCATGACAACCACTGTGATGATTTGATTGATCCAGGCTTAATCTCAAATCTTTCCAACTGTTGCGAAGAACAAAATGCAGGTAAAAAATTCATATTTACTTTTAAGCCTGAGGGCATCATTTTTCTTGTTAACAAAATCTAATATATCCCATTTTCAGTGATCCACTAATGCTTTGATGCTCCTGAAATTATGTAGGAATGAAAGATGTTTGGGAGGGATTGAATTTCTTTGGAGAGCCTTAGAATTGGTCTGAGGCTGAGTGTGTAGTTCAGTAGTAGCTGGCCCAATATGGGGAGGCCCTAGGTTCTATCCCCAGCACTACAAAAGAATTTTTTTTAAAGTTTGTCTATTTCACCTATGTCCATTTTATTTAATGGTAGAATTATAAAGAATATATATGTATATATATATATATATATATATATATATATATATTCTTTTATATATACGTGTATGTGTGTATGTATGTGTATATGTGCATGTGTGTGTGTGTGTGTTGGGGGGGGGGTGCTACTGGGGATTGAACTCATGGCCACTGAGCCACATCCCCAGCCCTGTTTTGCATTTTATTTAGAGACAGGGTCTCTGAGTTGCTTAATGCCTCACTTTCGCTAAGGCTGGCTTTCACCTCGCAATCCTCTTGCGTCCCGAGCCACTGGGATTACAAGCGTATGCCACTGTGCCCAGCAAAAACTTTATATTTAATTTTATAAACTATTAAGATATTTATGCAAAATTATACTTTAAAATCTGTGCCATATTCTCTTTGCCATTTTGGATTTGCTTTATAAACCATCTTTTATTCAAATAATAATTTGAATTAGGGCTTAATTTTTTAACATATTCCTATTTATTATTTGTAGAAGATCAAGAAAGTCTTAAAACACCGGCCTTTCTAAATGTGAGGAAGAGGAAGAGAGTTACTTTTGGAGAGGATCTAAGCCCAGAAGTGTTTGATGAATCTTTGCCAGCAAACACTCCATTGCGTAAAGGAGGAACACCTGTCCGACAAAAGGATTTGAGTAGTGTTAGTCCTCTGCTACTTGAGCAATCACCAGTTCCTGAGCAATTGCCTCAACCAAATTTTGAGGACAAGGGGGAGAATCTTGTAAGTGTGATGAGTGCAGAACAAGCTTGTTGGATTTTCTTCAGGTCATACCTGTTTTGTATGGGCAGTAGCTATGCTTTGAAATCATGAGGTAGACTAAATGAAGTGCCACCGTTTTTTTGTTTTTTTTTTTTAATTTTTATTGTTGGTTGTTCAAAACATTACATAGTTCTTGATATATCATATTTCACACTTTGATTCAAGTGGGTTATGAACTCCCATTTTTACCCCGTATACAGATTGCAGAATCACATCAGTTACACATCCATTGATTTACTTATTGCCATACTAGTGTCTGTTGTATTCTGCTGCCTTTCCTAGCCACCGTTTCTTAAATCTAGTTTCTATGTAGATTTTTTTTCCTGTTTTTCCCTCTTACAAACAATACTTCCATGATTCCTTGTACATAGCATATTTCATGGGACTTAACTGCTGTAAGATGTACCATTGTTCTTATCAGGTCTTTTGGTCGCAGCAATGCAAAAGCTGACCAAAACAGGAAAAGTTGTATGATCATCTCAGTAGATGCGGAAAAAGCATTTGACAAAATCCAGCATCCATTTTTGAGGAAAAAAAGAAAGAATTAGAGCAAGCAGATTTAAAAAAGGATATTTCTTCAAATTGACCAATTTTATCTATGAAGTCCATGGTCTGTGAACACCGTGGCAATTAATGTGTTTATATTGCCACTTTATCCTTGAAGTTCCAGGAATAATATTGTAATGTTAGATTTTATTTATTATTAGGTTTTCTTACTTACTTTGCAGGCTTTAAACAAAAGTTTTTGTTTGTTTGTTTGTTTGTTTGTTTTTTGATGGTACTGGGCATTGAACCCAGGGCCTTTGCATATAAAATTTAGTGCTTTGCCAATAAGGTACTGTCCCCAGCCCTTTTTAAATTTCGAGACAGGTTCTTTCTAAGTTTTCCAAACTCGCCTCAAATTTGTGATCTCCTGCCTCAACCTCCTGAGTAGTTGGAGTTACATGAGGGCTTCACCATGCCTGGAATGATGTGAATTTTTTTTTTTTTTTGAGGGAGAGTGTTTGTTTGTTTGTTTGTTTTTTTTAATATTTATTTTTCAGTTTTCGGTGGACACAACATCTTTATTTTATTTTTATGTGGTGGTTGGAACCCAGCACCCCGTGCATGCCAGGCGAGCACGTTACCGCTTGAGCCACATCCCCAGCCCCATGTGAAATTTTTAATAAACCAAAAAGTAACTTATCAATGAATCATTAAGCAACTTTCACTTTTTAATAGAAATTTTGGTGGATTATAATTACTAACCATGGTTTCATTATAAAAATGATTGTTCAGTGTTATAAAAAACATGTATTTTTAAATCTAATATCGTTACCTTCTCTTTAATCTTATTGCTTATTATAATCTTATTACAATTCCTCTTACCCAAATAAGACATTTTTCTTTTGGGCAAATTATTTATATATTAACTGAATTTAAAGATATCTAATTTCTACCACTCCCCCATCCCTGCCCCCACTTTGTTTAGGAAAACATAGAACCACTTCAGGTATCATTTGGAGTTCTGAATCCTTCCGTTTCTGAGAATCTCTCAGGTATGACTTATATTTGTTACAGCAATTTATGCTTGGTTTTAAAAAAACAAACTACCACTGTAGTTATTTAAAAAGTTTATGGGAAGTTGCTTATCTATCCCTTTCCATTCTAAGTCCTATAATCACCCACTTTTAACTTTCTGTGATGGAAGTTAAATCTTGAAAATCCTTTTTTGAAGTGCTATGGGACTCTCAATTCTTAAGTATCAACAGTAAGCGCCTATCATATTTTGCACAACTGGAATGATTTGAATTGTAAGATAAGGGTTATTCTTAAAGATCGAAAATGTTTCATCAATATTAGCATGGCGTTTTTGGCACATGTACTTCCAAGGACCTTATCTTTTATTAAGGCAGCAGAGATTGCTCCCAGCTCTTCTTACAAACCAGGCATTGGTTGGTAAATGTTATAGATTGGGCTCTTGGAGTGGGAACAATTACTCAGCCTTACTTCCCTGGTTGCAATCCTTTAATGGGTTCTTGTTGACACCAGCCATCTTATGAGCACAGAATCCAAGCTATATATTATTAAGTTTGTGCTAACTTTTGAGCTGTATGTAGTCTAATCACTTTCCAAAGTCTTAACTCTTAAACTCATTATAGTATTTTTTATAGTACTTTTTTATAAAACAAATCAAAATTTTTCTTTTAATTAAGCAAGATATATTCATGGTTATCTTAATGCTATTATAATTTCCTTTACAAAATATAGTTTGGAATAAATGGATATCTATGAAAATAGCATGCATTTATCATAATATGTGGTATTATGGTGTAATTTAGTCTGTTAGCATGATAATATGTTAAGCATTCACCACAGAAAGTGATGATATTCAGAAGCTTAAAGTGTTCTGAATTTTTAGATCTCAAAAATTATTCCTCTTGGTAATTGTTTATGTCTAAATATGATATTAAAAGTGAGTGTATCTAAAAGACTGTTCAGTATTTCCCAAAGCTGGCTCATGTTATCATTTTGTGTTAGCAACTTGATTTTGTTTGTGTCTTACTTACCAGGCACTGATACCTTTAGTTCTTCAAATAACCACGAGAAAGTATCCTCCCGTAAAATTGGTAGACTAACACGGACTTCTGGCAGAAGAAATGTAAGTGTTTATATTAAATCTTACAATATATTTTTTCTATATTCATGATCAGATGATAATGGGTAAAATCTTACTTTAATGAGTATTATTAAAAATTAAATCTTAATCTATTTAGCATGTAATCCAGAGTAGTAATGTTTACTGATTTGATTTTAAATTCTGTTATTAGTTATCTTGGCACTTAGGTGGCATTTGGCCGTTGTCTCAAATTGTTAATGTGAGAGGTAATCCCTTTGAAATTTTTAAGAACTGTGTAATTTTATGAATTTCATTGAGGTGAATGTGGAGGAGATTAGCTTGTAATTAACAGAGCTGGAAAATTACATAAGCACAACTCCTCCTTAAACTGCACTTCAATTTAACACTGAGTTTCAACTGGAAGTTATAAGCATAATGCTCATTGAATGCAAGTCTTTTTCTATTATGTTAAATTGGATTAAATTGGATTTTTGCTTATATCATATTGTATAAACATATATTTTAATGTCATAGAACTTTTAAGTGATAAGCCCATAATTCAAACATAGAATCTTACAGTTCACAATTTTCTTTCTTGTAACCCAACAATAGTTAAGTGCTAAATTGTAGGTTCTCCATAAATATTTGATGAATAAATAAATCTTCAATTTTCTTAGTTGAATTTTGGTTAAAATGCCACTAGTGGAATTTGTGAATTAAGAAGAAATGGGATGTAAAATGATAGGAGCATCATGGGAAAAAGAATAATAGAGCTTTACATTAAAAATGTGACTGCTTGGGCTTTATGGGATCCTTGCTTTAAATTTTTCTTACAGCAATTGATCAGTTTTGCAGAGGAGAACGTTTGCAACTTACATAATGCAGAAACTAAGTCATGTAAGGAAAAGAAAATTAATAGGAGGAAGTCTCAAGAAACGAAGTACAGAAACAGGGCACTTCCTAAAAAGAATCAGGTACGTATGTTTTTTTAAAGATGTAGTGTATTTTAAAGAAGTAGTGTATTTATTTGTTTTGTATGATAAGGAAAATATGGAAACAATATTTTTCCAGTTAACATTGGACCAAGATTATTAAAATCATGTTATTCTAGTGTAGAACCATCCATAAGAAGTTGTATACTCAACTATGAACTACCTGAGGGATATTTTTGCTTCTGTTTCATTTTGTGTTATATATATCTTGCATAATAAATAATCTTTGAGTCTACTTTAACCCCTCTATTGGGAATTCTATTTTTCCCCCCTTAAAATTTATTTTTATTTTTATTTTTTTGGTTTTAGGTGGACACAATATCTTTATTTTACTTTTATGTGGTGCCCTGCGCATGCCAGGCGAGCGCGCTACCGCTTGAGCCACATCCCCAGCCCCTTAAAATTTTTAATGGATAGGAAATGTTATGAAATAACTGCCAGGTCACATAAATTCACATTGTTTTTTTTACTGTTAGTTATCCCAGATTATACACACTATTGGTTGATGCCATCTGCGTGGGTGTTTTCGTCTGTTGTTGAGTGTGTCCTGAGTATGAGCCACGGGCCCATGTACATGGTCCAGAAAAGAAGGTGACTGTTTGGCAGGCTTCAGATCTGCTTTTCTTTTAGCCTGGGCTCCAGTCTTGGTCTTAAATGATAGGGTTCTGTAGGAGACATTGATCTGTTTTCACTTAGGTGGCATTTGGCAGTTGTCCCAGCTCAGGTTGCATCCAACCCAGTTTGTCCAGTGCATACTCGTTGAACTGTGCCTGTTGTTTGCTACGGTGACAAGTAACTGTCACAGATCATTGGATGACGATTCTGTGGAAGCCTGTGCACTGTGGAGCCTTATCTGTCTTGGCGCATTTTTAGCCCCACCAGTGTGCACTGCTGTGCTCTTCCCAGCATGATGGCGGTGGCCTGGACGCTTGAGGAGGCACCTTCAGCTCCTGACTTCTCAAACTCCCCTATCAACCAACTGGCCAGGAGGGCCACATAACACCTGTGCATTCCCTGATTACTCAGACAGGGATGAATGCACTATCTGCTATTTGTTGGACTTCTCTTCTAGTCACAGGGTCACTTCTCATAGAAATTTCTAAATTTAAGTTTCTAAACTTAGAAATTTGATCTCAGTCTTCCTCAGTACTTCAGTCATCCCAAATGCCTTCTACTATCCATGTGCATGTCTGATCTAATTCCTCAACTCTAGTCCTTTATCCTCTCCACTTTGGGGATTTGGACTGCACTTCTCTGAAGTCACTCGCTTCCTCTGCTGCACTTCAACTTGTTACTACCTTACACCTTACTGTTTCTAAAAATACTCTCTTGCATACCTCCTTCTCTGACTCCAACTCCTGTCTTTTCCCCTTCCTCATTCCCTTTCCTATGTGTCTGTTCTACTAATGATCATCTGACCCCCCTCTTTATTCTCTAATTTTCAGATACCTATGATTTCATATTTCCCTCTTCTTCCTGAACTTCTTGAACCATTTTCAACAATTCTTGTCAGTTATCTCAATTCTATATCCTTTTCAGCAACATTTCAGCTCTGAATTCATTATTCCCTTTAGAGAAACAAATGCACACAGGTGTTGGGGGCAGGTACTACTACAAATCAGTATTTCAACTATTGTCTGAAGTGGTACATTCACATTGGTGAAGTTGCTGCAAATTGCCTCTTAAATGTCATTATTCTTCCAGGGTATTTAATAATTTACTAAAAAATCCATACATGCTTTTTAGTCTTTTTCTTGCTTGATATAATTGGACACTCCTTTACAGTCACTGTTAGAGGCTGATTTTTTTTCTGAACCCACCCTTAACTATTTATATTCCTTAGAATTCTCTTTGCCCTTGTAAATTGTTTATTTTCTAGCTGGGTGGTTCTGTATGCAGCATGGTCCAAAGACGCAATCTGCCTGGTCCATAAATATATGTTCAATTACCTTCTAGACATATCTTCCCAAATCATCTTGTAAACATTTTATAATCAACAGTTCTAAACTAAACTCATCAGTTTTACATCCCCCCCTCCACACACATCCACACACAAAGCTATGAATTTCTCTCTTTTTCCTCCACTCTTGGTTGAATGGCATAGATACCTTTGAATCATCAAATTCAGAGGAAATTATAAATTTTCCTTGTTTGTTTGCTTTTAAACTATTGAAAGTTCCTCTTTCTGAAAACAATACGCAGAAATTGAAAAACTTGCATACAACTCACTGCATTATAAATTGATTTCCTTCATATCTATACTTTTAAAAAATAGTTTCATATCATGTGCATTTATTCATATCAAATCATTGGCCAGAAGAATCAAGGAGGATTGTGCATGAGATTGCACCAACCCTTTTGAGGACCCTGCTGAATTAATCTATAATAAAAAGAGAACACTTAGAATAGAAATTAGAACTTTAAAAAACATTTTTTAAAAAAAGTAGTAATGAGAAGAGGAAGGGGTATTAAGCAACAGATGACAGCCTTCAATGAATTTCTAGAAGACAAAGCAGATGGGAACATATTGACAGAAGAGGTGGAAACATTTGCAGTTCAGAATGTGCTAGGAGAGAACTAGAGGGATGTGGGAACCAGCCCGCTATGGGGATCCCAAGAGACTCTGGGCTCAGAATTGGCAGGTATAATGGATGGTGAGAATGAGAAGTGGTATTAAAAAAAAAAAAAAAGATTAATTGAAGTTCTATATATGGAATAGTTTGCACCAGTAGGCATGCCACCCCCTCTTCCACCCTGATACTCAGAACAGATGTTGTCATCTAGGTTATGGCATTTGGAAAGTCCCACAATCTTGACAGCAGCTCTTATCCTAAAGCAAAGCCTGGTAATTGATACCACCATATTGCCATGCCCCCTATCCTATACAGGGTTCCTAGGTAGTTTCCATGTAGGAAAGAGACTGAGCTAGAAAGTATGGAAACCCATACTAATTTACCCATTTGTTTCTTAAAAATCAGATTATTGAGTGGAACCAATAGCATGAAAGAGATAAGATCAATACTAGGGAGCTTCTCTGACCCCAGAGATATAGGTTATTCAGGGAATGAAAGCGATACATACAAATAAATCGATAGATTGTTATACTTGGATTTCAGAGAAAAAAATTGCATAAAACTAAGAAAGGGATGCTTTAAAAAAGGAACAGAAAAGTAATTGTAAAAATAGAAAATTTTGGAGGTTGTGGATGGCTCCAAGACAGTGCTGCTGGCCTGGATGTGAGGTATCCCCTCAAGGTTACTGTCTGTGTAGGAATATTCAGAGGTAAAATGATTAGATTATGAGAGCCATAACCTAATTGACCCAACCCATTCAAGTTTGAATAGACTGGGCGATACTTGCATGCAGGTGGGGCATGACTGGAGGAAGCGTGTTATGGGGGCATGCCCTGAAAAGGTGCATATTCCTTACAGCCCTTTCCCTCTTGCCCTCCCTCTGCTCCCTGATCCCACCACCAGCTGAATAGTTTTCCTCTGCTGGGCTTTTCTTCCATGATGTGCTGCTTAACTTTGAGCCCAGAGCAATGGAGTCAGCCATCTATGGACAAATCTCTGAAACCATGAGCCCCAAAGAAACTCTTCCTCTCTAAGTTGTTCTTGACAGGTATTTTGATCACAGCAGTAAAGATCTGACTAAAACATATATATTTTTTGTACTTGGGTTTCAGAAAAAAATCAATCTCGATAAAACTAAGAAAAGGATGCTATGAAAAAGGAACAGAGAAAAAAATAATTATAAAAATAGAAAAATTTGGAGTTTGTGAATGGCTTTAAGATAGTGCTGCTAGCCAGCATCTGTCCAGCGGCTCTCACAGTTGAATACACCACTCAGCCCCTCTAAGCCAGTGGCCCTCAATAAGGGATCTAGGCCGTTGCACCTCCAATCTGTCACAGCCTCCCCTATAGATCACCTATGCTGAGGCAGAGATGATGAGCTGGCAAATGCATTTATTCATATCAATAATGATGCCACTAGTTTAAGAGCAGAGCCAGCAGCATTGTGTATGATGGTCTTGATTCAGGTAAACTCTGCTGCTTGGTCCTAATAGATCTGAATGCTCCCAGCAGGAAGGATCTGAAATGAGAGAATGACACCATTTCTTCATGGTCAACAGAAAGTGCAGTGCCATCAGCAGTGGCAGAGCCCTCTTAGATTATGTGGGCTCTGTGCCTTCTAATTGCACAGAGCTCCACTGCTGTATCTGACTGGTTCACAGCAGGACAAGCTACTGACAAAGTACAAGCCCATTCTCAGCAATTGATCTAGAGACCATCATGGCGAATTCAAGATGGCAGCTTTTCATAGAAAAGTTGGGGCTGGGTTCCCCAGTGTTCAGCAAATGTTACCAGTCCAGATGCCCCTAGGCTATGTGAGCAGCTGTCCAGGAAGCAGGAGAAACCCAGAGATTTAAACGGTCCAGTAGCCCCACATGGTGTCCTCGAGTTCAGTGGTATATGTACATTTCTCCTTTTAGGCTCCTGTTTGCAGACATGAGACCCGAGCTGTATCAGATAGTACTTTAGGGTGACTTTTCCTACTGTCTGAACTTTCTAATTCTGAATAGTCATGTGTTCACATTTGAACTCCATTTGGGTGATATTTGGGTACTGTTAGGGTCATCATATTGCTAATGTAAGAATAGCAACCTAGAAATTAAAGAAGAAAATATCTGGCTAAAAAGACCATATCAAAAGGAATATAGCAGGGTATCAGGTAATCTTTGGGAGGTTTGAAAAGAAAGATACGGCTTTTCGTAACCTCTGCCATTGTGATCCTGAGACTAGACCTGCACAGTGGCATCTTCTAAGATGTGTTTGTGGTGTTGTCTCTCACCAACATGACCGGAGGCTTGTGTTTCAGCTAAACCCCATCATGGTTTTTCCTTTAAAGAGTAATTCTAGAAAAACAACAGGGAGAATGACTCTGGTACTGATGAGGCCTGGCCATCTAGACGTGCAGCAATG